CTCTCCTTTGGTCATGGTGGTCACAAGTACTCTAAAACCCATTTTCCTGGTGGCAGAGACACAACCCACTACAAAGGGAAGCAAAGAATCCCATACAATGTGCTTCTGAAACTAACAAACCAAAATATATGTTATGTTTTCTTGAATACTTTCACAAACTACAAATGAGATACATCTGTAAACATTCAACAACAACAACAACAAAGATCCTGGGTACTGCAAATTTCTTTTTTACCCCAAATCTTGAGACATTAATCCCCGCATTAAATAATATGAAGGCCTATTTTTTGCATGTCCCCAAGGGAAGACAATCAATCGTCTTAAGTAATTTCCAAATGGGATGCAAAAGAGGGATGCAATGTGGGTGGTTCAAAGGAATTGGCAAGTTAAACTTATTTCAGAAATGGGAGGCAGAGGATTCTGATTTATTTCTTTTTTTAGAAAAAAGGGAAAGTTAAGATGAAAGCAGATCATCACAGAAGGAGTACTAAATCGAAGAAACAATCCAAAGGGAGCATTAACTTCTAATCAGGAGCAAACTAATTGACTGACCTGACTTTGATATACTGTTCCATCTGTGATCTGTAGCGATAATTGGCAGACTATGGATGTAAAATGAGATACGGCACTGTATATCCCAGCCTTAGTCTCTTGCTCTCCTAAACTTTGCATAACTAAACCATAATGTGGGCATTTCATTCAAAAGAAATAGAGCATGGTGCTTATATTTTCCAGGGGGAGAGGAAGGAGAGAAAGGATATATTTTGCAAAACACAGACAAAAAGATCATCTTTCTGCTCTCATTGCAGGAAGTTTTGTCTTCTGTGTAGAAAAAGTTGTTTTGCACAAAAATGTGTAATTTTTTGCAAAGAGTACACAATCTTTGAAAGCTGTGCCATTTTTGATAAATTTCTTGCAGTGAGTAGACAAATGATAAGATTGTTCTTTGTGCAAATAAATTTCACAGTCATCTGTATTCTTAGATATAGCATCATTTGCAAGGTAGTAAGAAGCTCCTGTAATCTCTAGCATGACATTACATCTGATTTAAATTAATGATCAAGCCCAGTTCACACAAGTTGAAGTTCACAAACCAACCTCAAACCACTCTTACAGTATCTGGTTTCTTGGTCATAAACACTCAATAAGTTGTTGGCTACCACTGGAGAGGTTTTGGATGTACAAATAAAACAGAAATGTGTTAAAGAAACCATGGTTTAGGATGTAGAGAGATCTTGTTGCACCTTTGAGACTAACTGAAAGAAAGAAATTGGCAGCATGAGCTTTCGTAGACTTCCATCTACTTCCTCAGATGCGTGGTTTAGGAAAATGTCTAACCCTAATTTTTTAAAAAATGGCCTCAGACAATAAGAAGACAAAAACTAAGGGTGCACTTACACTGTAGAAGTAATGCATTTTGACACCACTTTAACTGTCATGGTTGCATCCTACAGAATCCTGGGATTTGTAGTTTTGGGAGGTACCAGTACTCTTTGACAGAGAAAGCTAAAGACCTTGTAAAACTACAGATCCAAGTATTGTATAGGATGGAGCTCCAGCATTTAAAGTGGTGTCAAAACTGCATTATATCTACAGTGTAGCTGCATCCCCAGAAACCTTCATTTCTCCATTTGCTTCAAATTTGTACAATGTTATTTATTTATTTAAAGGTAACATTTATTTACTTTATTTATATGCCACTTGGGTTGCATTCTGATGTAGCCTAAGTCGTATAAGTATTATTATTATTATTATTATTATTATTATTATTATTATTATTATTATTATTATTATTTATATCATGCAAAATACGTGAAAGAAATATTTATAGATCCGATCTGTGTCTTCTTCATGAAATGATTAGATTAGACTAGTACAAAAATGATTGTTTTTGTACTTTAGCCCTTTCTCTGCCCCCATCTAATTCTGCTCTTACTCTGGATAAATATAGCTAAACAAACCTTTATCCCAATCATTGCAAAAATCTAATAATAATGGAAATCACTGTGGATGGGTACATTCCACTGGGCTATTAAGATATAGCTTCTGACTGTAAAAACATTTAAATGGAAATGCCCTTTGTTAAATCATTTTCTCTGCACAGAACTGCCTAAGTAATAACATCGTTGCTTTAAGGATCCATTTTATGACACTTCTGTTCCCATATTTAATCTACAGATTCTTGAAGTAGATCTTAAACACAGTTGTGTCAGCTCATTTGGTTTGCTATCCATATAAATACATTTCCACACTGCTGGTTAAGACATGTTGTCCATGTGCACATATAACACGGATAGATTCATGAATTCCTGGAAACCACTTGATAAAGTATGTATATCTATACTTTTTCCCTATGGGAAACCCACCAGCAGGTGATGATTTCTGGGCACAATTCAAAGTGTTTGTTGGTTATGTGTTTTGGAGTCCCATACAGCTTAGATCCAGACTATCTGACAGTCTTTCTCTCTCTAAGGGATAGAACTGCAAGGCGAACCTGGAGAAGGGATCACACCATCTTTTTACCATAATGGACCATTTGTCCAACACATTTTCCATACTATGTGCCTATATCACAGGTTTCTGCTTTGCATTTAGAAGAAGCAGGTATGGCTTTAAGACCCTAGCCTTGCATGTGAGATGCAATATACGGGGAAATGTTTATGGCTAAAAGAAACTACCAAGCGTCCCCACTGAGTTAAAAGATTGAGCCATGATTTCTCTACAGGGGTCTCTCAAAGCATTTCTAGTTTCAATTACAATGCCTACATTTTTTTTCCCCACCTCCATTCCCAGGAGTTTATTGTGTGCTTATGAAACACTAGTCTTTGGCCAGTAAATGGCAGATTCATCTACACACAATTTTATGTTGAAGTAAAGTTGAAATGTAGGTAACAAATGAAGAAAATAGACTTTACACACCTATGTTGTTGTCGTGTGCCTTCAAGTTGTTTCTGACTTATGGAGACCCTAAGGCAGGGGTAGGCAACCTTTTTGAGCCGGGGGCCGGGTTGCTGTCCCTCAGACAATTGACGGGCCGAAGCACCAAAAATAAATAAATAAATAAATAAATAAAAATTAAAAAGAATTAAAAAATTTAAAAAATGCATGCACACTCTCTCAGCCCCAGAAAAGCCATGGCAAAACCCCTGTGAAGATTTTGCCAAGAAAACCCCAAGAACAAGTAATAACAACAATAATCAATATCATCATGGGGGGGCGGTGGCGGTGGGGGGGGCGGCGGCAGCAGGACCGGTTTGGGGCCGGTCCAAAGGCCTTGCTGGGCCGCATCCGGCCCCCGGGCCTTAGGTTGCCTACCCCTGCCCTAAGGCAAACCTATCATAGGGTTTGCTTGGTAAGAAATCTTCAGAGGGGGCTTGTTGTTGCCTTCTTCTGAGGCTGAGAGAGTGTGTCTGGATGAAGACTGCCCAGTGGGTTTCCATGACCAAGCAGGGATTCGAACCTTGGTATCCACCACCCTAGTCCAAGACATAGGGCCTTATCAAACGCTGGCCAGGAAGGGAAGACTAACCGAAG